TTCTAGATATCTTATTGTTATTGATTACATTTTGGTCAGAGAACATATTCTTTATTATTTTAATCATAAATTTATTAACATGTTTTGTGGATCAGCTTATGGTCTATCTTGATGAATGTACCATCTCCACTTGAAAAGAATATGTATTCTATAGTTGTTGGGTATCACTTAAATATTAAGTATGGACCAGGATAATTGGTAGTGTTGTTCAAATAATCTATATCTTACTGATATTTTTGCCTAGTTTTCTGTCAATTGCTGAGAAAGAGGCTTTTATATCTCTAAGTATGACTGTAGAATTGTTTATTTTGCCCTTTAATTCTGTCAGATTTTGCATCACACATTTTGAAGCTGTGTTATTAGGCATAATCAAATTGTTGTTATGCCTTTTGATGAATTAACTCTTATCATTCTGAAATGTTCCTGGTTCTGGCCATATTCTTTAAGTCTACTTTATATGATAATATAACCACTCCAGCTTTTATAAGTCTAGTGTTTAGTATATCTTTTACCATTCATTTGCTTTCAATCTATTAAAGTGTAATTCTTGTGGATATCTTATAGTTGGGTCTTGCTTTTTTATGTTTTGACAATCTCTGCCATTTATTTGGAGTGTTTAGTCCATTAACATTGAATGTAATTATTGATGTGGTAGGATATAGGTTTGCTATTTTACTATTTGCTGTTTGTCCCTCTGTTCTCATTTCCTGCATTGTTTTGCCTTAATTTAATATTTTTTAAAAATTCCCTTCAAATTATTTACTAGCTTTTTAGCTGTATCCTCATTGCATTTTGTTTGTATCTGTGATTGCTCCAGGCATTACAAATATGCATTCTTACTTCTTCATAGACTACTTATAGCTAATATTGTATCACGTAATAGACATTGTAGAAATATTACAACCAAATTACCAAATTGGTCCATTTGTAACCTCCTTCATCCTTTATGCTTTGATGTTATATGAATTACATCTACATATGTTATAAACTCCATAAGACAGAGTTAAAATTTTTTTTCTTTTAGACAGGTCTACGTAAATTAAATTACTAGAGAAAAAGTAGTTTTTTTATATTTACCCAATATTTACCATTTCTGATACTCTTCATTCTTTCCTGAAGATCCCTCTGCCCAACTGGTATTTCCCTTCAGTCTAAAGAACTTGCTTTCACATTTCCTATATTGCAAGTTGGCTGGCAACATATTTTCATAGTTTTAGTTTATCTAAGATACAGTTTGCTTTCATTCTTGAAGGATATAATCTTTCTGGATATAGAATACTGTGTTGACAGCTTTTTTTCCTTCTTGAAATATATATAAATCATTGTTTTCCTTTAACGTGTCATTTTTTTGTGACTGCTTTCAAGATTCCTTTTCCTTTATCGTTGATTTTCTTCATCCTTCTTCTACCAGGGGTTCCCTGAACTTTCTTGAATCTTTTGAAATTTTGTCTTCCACCAAATTTGGGAAATTATTAGGCATTATTTACTTAAATATTTTTTGGTCCTTTTCTTTCTTCTCCCTTTTTGGAACTCCAGTTATACGTGTATTGACTTTTTGATATTTAGCCACAAGTCTGTGAGACTGATTCATTATTTCTCAATCCTTTTATTTTCTGTTCTTCAGATTGAGTTATTTTTATTGATCTATCATCATGTTCACTCTTTGTTTTATAACCTCCATTTTGCTTTTAAGCCTATCCAATTAATTTAAAAATTTCAGATAATATATTTTTCAGTTCTAGGACTAGAGTTTGGTTCTTTTTTATAGTTTCTATTTGACTATGTTTTCATTTATATTTTGAATATAATTTTAATTGCTACTTTAAAGTCTTTGTCTGCTATTTATAACATTTGAATCACTTCAAAATTGATCTCTGTCTATTGTTTTTTCTCCTGAAAATGGGTCATGTTTTCCTGTTTCTTTGTGAAATAATTTTGGATTAAATCTTAATCACTGCTGCAATTACCATGTTGCAGAGACTCTGGGTTGTGTTTTGTTCTTCTAAAAAATTCCAGTTTTTCTTTTCTTGTTTTAGTAGGCAGTTGATGGTTAGGCTCATACTGCAAACTCTGTCTCTTGGTGTGTAGCTCAAATCTTCAGTTATTTTACCCTTAGCTAGCATTTTTTTTTTTTTTAACTGCAAATGTGTAGTTCACAGGTCAGCCATAAATTTGAACTGACTGTATATACTAGATTTAGGGCTCCTTCTTTCTGAGTCTATCCTTTCCAGGACTCCCTTTTCACTTTCCAGTGGCTTTGGTTACCTTGCACCCTATCCACTGCTTCTTCAGGCCAGAAAGATTGAAGATTTTTTGTTTGAGTTTTAGTTGCCGTACATATTGTGGGTTGAGGCTGCCCTCAGGCCAAAAGCTGCAATAAACAGGTAACTCACTTAGTTCCATTCCTTTTTCTAAGTGTTGATTCCTTTCCAGAATCAACCTGTTTTTGGTCATTTTCTAGTGCATTTAGGTAGTTATTTATTGTTTGTGTATAGTGTATGGTTATTCTATGCAGGAGAATTGGTGTTGTAGGAGGTTACTAATAAGCCAATAGTAGAAGTAGAACCAGATTTTTTAAAGCTAAAATCATTGGAAAATATGGTATGGTGAAGTACAATCCTAATAGTTTTCTTGTTTTCTTAAGATATTCAGAAAAAGAAGAAAGCATGTTGTATATCAGACACACACATACACACACAAACTGAAAGAACTAGTTTTTCTAACTCCAAAGTCTTCTTAATGAAATATTAGATTAGAATACATTTCCAGTGTAAGTACAGATAGTTTACCATATGTCAAAAGAAAATTTTGTATAGATTTTTAAAACCTGCATAGATTGCTTGGGCTTATTTCCAAGATGGAGTTCTGTTGTATATTGTACATCCAATGTTTTTCACTTCTGATATATATAGTTTTGATTCAGTTAACATAGTAAAGAAGGTAATTTACAGTGTCAAAGTCCTCAAAATGATCAATTTATGATTTAAAAAAATTTTGATGGATAATTTCCAGTATAATTTCCACTTTCTAGGAAATGTTCCTTTCATGTTTCCTCTTGCTACTCAATAGGCTCTTTGTGAAGCAGGAGGCAGAATCTCTGCTTTGATTTTACTTTATTCTCTGTGCCAATGGTTTTCCTCCCTACTCTATCTCCTTTATATTTCTTTCTCTTCCTCAGTCTTTAAAAATTTTATTTTTTCATTACTTTTAATTTTTTAATCTTTATGAGTAATAGGAAAGGAAGATTAGGAATATTGATTATATTATTTGGTGGTTTTCTCTTTGCTGCACCTTATACATTTGCCTACCTCCTCTCCTTTCTTCTTAGGAGTTGTAAAATATTTTAAATATTTTGCTCAGTATGAATATGTAGGGAATTTGACGAAGTAAAAGCAAGGACTCTGTATATTCTCATTCTATTGGGAAGGTCCTGCTTGTTGAATTTTTAGGTATTTCAAGATGTTCCAGTCAACTGACAAGGACTTCTCCTCACAGTGTCAGAACTGTAGTGATGATGAGAGTAATGCAACTAGCAAATAGTTCTGGTATGTAACCACTTTTGCATGTTTACTTCACCAGAAAGCTCTGTGGAGTACAGTGGTATCCTATATTCCTTGTTAACATTTGGAAGACCATTTGCATGCTTTCAAAATAGATTTTGAGGTAATGGTGTTAGTCAATAAATAGAGAATATGTTTTAATCAGATGTGAAATTCTGCAGAGATTAATATATCTTCATTTCATAACTCCTCTAAAAAAAGGGAAAACAAAATTTAAACTTGCATTCTTAGAACTTTCTGAATAACATGATAATTGATTAAACTCAAGGTTTTAGTGTACTCGTTGCAGAACCATTTTGGTACCATATGTGTTTTTAGTAAAATACCATTCACAAATATGGACGATACTTCTTTTTTATATAACTTATCAGTGGGGATTTATTTGCTTTTTACTTTTCTAAAACCAAATTCTTTAGTTCTTATGTTGTTGTAGATTATAAATAAATATTTTTGAAAATATATATCCAGTTTATAATGTACTTCCCTGGACAGTCTGGTTATACTAAATCTTTAGAACAGTGTGATTCGTGGTGTGGATTCTTCTCCATAGACTGTCAGTTAATTCTCTTGGACTGGATGAGGATAAAGAAAGTATGTTCTCTGCCATTTTACCATAGCTTACTCTTGTACTTATACAAATGGTGAGATGGTTATTGTTACGAAATTAGATACATTGCTTCTTTATAATAATTGTTAATTTTTAGATTTAATGATGGCACTTAAAGATACTTACTTTGATTTATACTTGGGAAAACTTTGTGTGTTTATTATGCTATATATTATAAGTAGTTTATTGTTACTTAGGATTTTGAATAGCACACTACTTTTTTGGTTTATTTTATTGTGTAGAATATTCTATATTATCCAATAGTATGTAAGTTTCAAAACTCAAAATATTCAGTATATTATCAAGGGAGATTAAGGAACAGAACACAATCCAGTGAAGTCATTGTTGTAATACTTTGCTTTAAAAATGTTATTTTCTGTTTTTTAAAGGATATCTAGGTCTATTTGAAAATTCCTTTTTCTGCTATCAATGTTTGTTTGTATATGTAACTCTTAAGTCATTTATCACTGCATCTTAAAGAAGGTAGCTATATTTCAAAGGGGTTTTTTTCTGTAATTAATGTAAACAGGTTCATTATATAGATGCAAGGACTTAAAAAACACAAAAATGAAAAACTAATGATTACCCAGGGTCATAAGTTCCATGGTAGACTTGTAACTAAAGTTCAGTTTTGTTTTCTAGCCTTGTAATTTAATCCATACCAAGTATTATTTTCTGTATGGATAACTTTGGTCCATTAACCTACAAAAATTTATGAATAAACTTTGATATTCTCACACTTTGTAAATCTGCTGGTATTTTTTTATTGTAATAAAAAAGAAATCATGCTATAGTAACTAATTCTTGACCTAAACCCTTTTTTTCCCCTTTAGAAAAGTTGGAAGCTCCACCACCCACCCCAGGACAGCTGAGATATGGTAATGGTTCTATAATTGTTAAATATCTGTGCATCTATCTTTTAGATATAAAATAACTGTATCATTTACTGTTAATATAGATGAGTCAGTAAATTTAATTTTTCCAGATAGAGTGGGTTATCTAATTTATCATGCTGAAACAAAAAGTTCAGAAACTTAGTTTACAACAAATTACAATATTATGGAATTTTTAATATTGTTAACAGTATCTAACATTGTTAAACTGTTGTTACCATCTAGAAATAAAATTATACTTATGGTAAGGTTTTCTTAATTCCCAGAAAAAACGATATGTTTACTTTAGTTTGGATTTAAGTTGGGTAATTTCAGAACTAGAAAGTCTGGGCTAGGTAGAACTGTTCTCTGGTAGAGAAAATACTTAGAGCTTGCTGTTTATGATGATGAAGAAAGCGAAGTTCATTTAAGACCACCAGGGAGAAGAAGCTTATAATGGTGCTGGTGTGCTTTCTTTACTCTGTTAAAATGAGAATAAATAGTCAAGGCTAACACTGGCATAATGTAAAACAGTTTGGGATCTTATTATAAAGACAATAAAAGAAGAGAATGTTTTAACAGTACAGTGAATTCGAGTAGGTTGTAAGCGAAAGCTAAATACTAGATGTGTTTTGCTGTTTTAGAGTAGTATTTCCCAAAGGAGATTGAAGAAATCACAAATTAATAGGAGATCATTACATACTGGAGAGCAAACTTACTTGATTTTTTAAAACTTATTAACTAGCCAGTTCTTTTTTCTCTCAAAGGTAGAATATAATTTATATTAGAAAAAAGTACTTTTCCCAAATAACCAAAACATTTAAGAATTCTTTAAGACTTTAATTCCCCTGGTAATTTTTCCTGATTCTCCTAGCCTAGATTCATGCAAATTCATGTCCATAGCACTGTATAATACTATTATCAGTTTTTTAGTTATAATGAAATTAACTGTTGATATGGTATGTTATACCCAAACTTCTTGAGGGTTGGTAACCAAGTCTTACTTATCTTTGTATCTCATGCATGGTGCAATGTCCAGTACATGTTTATTTAACAATTTGAAAATTGAATTTTTTCCTTTGTGTTGACAATAAATTTTTACTTATATGATGTATTTATTTAGGTCTAAACATAAAAACATGATATATTTTATACTTCAAAGTTGCTTACTATAAAATTTTGAATGTCTAGTAGTTAAGCAACTAGACTTAGACAAAATCAAAGAACTAAGGCTAGACTCTTTGAGAAATCCCATTTCATTAATGTGCTATTTGATTTTTACCATCTTTAATAGCTTTTAAAATAATACCTTTTTAAAAATAATATTCTTTATAATTAAAAAGATGCTACTTTTTATCTTGAACATTCTTACTTGATAGCAAGAAGAAATCTGAAATGATCTAGGATATATACACACTTTTCCTGTGATCTTAGTCTTCAGTAGTGGTTTTGGGTAGAGTGTTTTTTTTGTTTTATTTTGTTTACTGTTTATTAGCCTTTCCTGGGTTGGTGCAGAACTCACTAGAGTAATGTCAAATTTTTTTTAACTTCTGGATTATATTTTAATTATGCTTTCTATGGACTTAACTGCATTAAAAGGAAAAACACATATGACCAGTTCGCTTAAGGAACTATTTTTTGGATATGTTATAAAATTCACAAGTTTGATGTTTATCTAAAAAAGTCATCTGTTGAATTGTTGTTGGCTATATCTTGGCAATTTTATAGATGAATCAGAATAAAGTCTTTTAACTAGCCCAGTTTTTAATCTGTTTCACAGTCTGCCTTCAATTGTCTTAATATGGAATTCTCTTCCTTTCCAGGTTAGTGGTCCTCAACTTAATTAACTGATATTCATTGAGTATCTGGTATGCACTATGCATTCTGCAATGTGCTGAAGATGCAAATATGAAAAAAATGAGACTGAATGTATAAAATATATATAGGTATTAGTTCTTCCTAGTTACACTTCTATTATGTCAGGTCATTCAGATTCTCTATTAGATAGATAAGGTAAGGTGTGCCTTTGTTAGGAAAAGGCCAAATTATGTTTTGATTTAAATCAAAATAGTTTGTGAAAGCTTTCAGGGATTCCGATATTGTGAGGGGGGGAGACTGCATATAGATGGCTAATATAGATGAGATAATTACAATTTTCTCACATTTGTCCAAAAATTGTTTAGTGAGTAAAAGTGACCATAGAGCTTCCCTGAAATTTGATTCAGGGTATTTTTTATTATTTCTAATATGGATATTAATTTTATGATATCAGTCTTTAGGTATAAGAAACAGATGGCTATCAATAGTAATTAAACCGGTAAAGCATGGTACTCATAATATGTATTTACTTATTTGTTCTGCCGTTAACTGTATGTACTTTTTATGTGTAGCTAGTAAGAAAACAACCCAGAAATCTAACACAGTCATTTTTACATGTTACATGTTTTTAAATTTTGTTTTGTTTCCCCAGTGTAGCTTCTAGGAAGTAGTTAAACTTATAGCAGGAGCAGAATCTTTTGGCTATAGGGAATGAAAAGCAAATTTCAAAGGTTGTCACATCTGTTTAGGAGACTTTAATCATATGGTCTGTTTTCTCATTTAAAGTTAATAGAAAACCTAAAATGTATTTTCTGTTTTTGATGTTTTTCAGTATTCATCCACAATGCGATACCTTTCATAGGGTTTGGCTTTTTGGATAATGCAATTATGATTGTTGCAGTAAGTTCTTTCTTTCACCCCTTCTATTTTGAGTTAATAAAGAAATTCATGTGGTCTAAATTTACCTAATAATTTATATATCCTAGCTATAAAATTTTAGTTAACATTATAATGAACAAGGCTACTTTTTACCATATTTCATGTTAATTAAACTGTCATTCAGTTTTAAGGCATTATATGTATTAATCATTAAGACTTTTGGTAAAGCACTGATAATAATAAACACATATTTGTTAGGTCTATATTATTCTGTTCTAGTTTCAACATTCTTATTAAAGGAAAAAGTATATAAAATTTTCTGATGTTCTTTAATTTTACTGACAGTTCTCATCACATATATGTTATTTGCTTAGTTCCTTGTTTAGTTTTTCCATGCAGAAATGTTTTAAAGGGTGTTTTGATGTAGTCTATCCATTTGACCCAAAGGTATTTTAAATTTTAGTTGAGAATACTGAGTGTATCTCCTTTTTGTCTTTGTTCCATTGTAGTGTTTAAAAAAAGTTCCCCTTTGCTGTGGTCATTTTAATGTAAGTGTGTCCTTTAAAAGTGTTTAGTCTTGGAGAAGGCTTCTTTACCTTTCCTACCATTGAATGGCACCTTTTGTTAATGAATACCAATGTTGGTCATTGGTCCAATTTCTAAAGTCAGAGATGAGTCCGTGATTAAAATGCAAGTCTTCTAAAACTGCCCCAGTGCTCTATCCACTTCTCTTCACTGACTCTAACTTGAAAAAAATGATTTTAGGATTATTGAATGTGAGAAAAATACATATGAGAGCAAGGGTTTTGTTTTGTTTTGTTTTGTTTTTTGTTTTTTTTTGGTGTCTTGGAGGTCACATGTACTACAGATGGACATAAATAGAATATTTGGTTTCAAAACAGACTAAAAGTATAATTTACATTGTGTAGGTTATAAAATTTGCTTAAAGAATATCTAAAAAGATTTTTTTGCTATTATATAGTCTCATCTTATGTCAGATTAATGGGGCTCAGCTATCCAGAAAGTCTGGCTCCTCACGTTGTTGACATAGCAGGAAGGTATCCTGATGCTTAAATAGTCAAAGCAGGTGCTCTAGCACGCGCACAGCTTGAATGTGGAAGCACCCATTGTGTAGTTCTTTAGCCAAGCAGCCTGGCAAGAGCCTCTAAAATATAATTTCAGAATGCTGGTTTTTTGATTGATTGTGACATTTTCCTAATATGTATATAAGAATTAAATTGGCCAATTTATATTATCTGCCAATATGAGAGTATATCTGTGAATATTCAGCAACTTAGAACCACACTGCTTTTAGTGAAATTACTAAAATTTGAGTTGGTTAGATTATTGAAATAGTTACTACATAATAAATCATATCTAATTATAATGAAAACCCCCATTATGATGAATTTATAAGCTGTAGATAAGACTTGATGTGTTCTTAAATAGATTGTCTGAATTAAAGTTTCTCTGTGACAAATATTTTTCTCTGTGACAAATATTTCTTTTGGTTTTATACAATTCCATATTTAAATTCCTCTTAATTGACAGCTGATATCCATACTACCACCTTCATATTCATTTGTTTTTTCCACCTCAGTAGGGCAGACCTTAGATAGTCAAATACTAAAAGACTATTGAGGAAGTATTGAGATGATATATTTTGCATAAAGAAGGGTGAATAGAGATTTTAAAGAGAGATCGGAACAGGGAAACTGGGTAGCTTCATAGATCGTGAATTTTACAGTGTGTTATTACTTATTTGAAATAAATATCTAAAGTAATAGATAATCTGCATTTAAATACAGCTACCAATAAAGTGAAACACACACACTCTAGAGTTAAATTATTGTAATGTTGTTTACTGTTTTCTGTTACTCGGCCTGTGTCTCATTGTTAGTATAACTGAGAGTGAACTATTTTCCCAAGTCTGAGATGGTTGACTCCAAGTTAGTAATGCTTGTTCTTGAAGTTTACATTGAAATCCAGTTTAAGGGACAGAATACCAGCTTCTACTTATATAATATTGAGATAAACGTTTAGACCACTGGCTTCGGTACCTGAGTAAGAGCAGTATGTGTAGCAAAATTGTTATTTAGTGATAATTGCAAACTAGTTCAGGGACAGTGCAATTTCCCAAAGAGGTTTTATAATAAATAGACTGCTGAAACTAAAATACATAAATAATATAACTCTTGAATCTATGAATAGGAAAATAAGTAGTCATCATTATCTTAAGAATGTTTTTCACCTTTTAATTTTTTAAAAACACTGATTGACTCCTAACATTGTGGGACAGCTATGACTGTTTTAAGATAGTAAGTTAAGGAAATATTTGATTCTTCTTTTCTGTCATGCCACTGACATTTGATGTTTTCCTCTTTGCTGTTGTCCTCTCTTGGTTGCTAGTCTAGTTGTAGTCATCAAAACAAATTCCTCCGTAACTTCCTGTAATAGATTGACCTTTATTGTTGGCTGCTGTTCATACTCAGCCTTTGGTTTCATAGTTTTTTATTATATTTTTGTATTACTAGGATTGCTTTTTATGACATGTTTTGGTGGTTTTTTGGATTATGTTTCTTACAATTTAATTGGAATAGAATTTGTTAGAATTCTAGAGTAGTTTAATTGTATTCAGATGATGAACCAGATATAAATTTAAGATAACTAGTATTAGATGTACAAGATAAAACTTGACGTAACTATGGGAAAAAGTAAAGACTGGTAGTCCATTGTCCTAAAACTGTCTTTGACTTTATTTGAAGCTTTTATGTTATTAGAAGGTCCTTCAGGTTTCTTAAATTCAACTAAATGATTAAGCATTTGAATACTTTTTAAATACATGTATTGCAAACAGAGTTTTCCTGGGGCATTCCTAATGAATCGTTGCTGCTAAGGATGCTATATTTATTTTTTATATACGGTACCTGTCAGGTGCCTTTGTTCTATATTAGTGCTCCGGTTTTTTGTGGGGGTTTTTCTTGTGTTTTTTTTCCCCATCCATATTAAAGATACACATCTTTATTCCTTATGCATGGTCTTTTCCTCTTTTTCTTCAGAAATCTGTTTCTTTTGGGTTCCTTCACAACCTTTCTTGTGATTTTAAATACCTGGGAGACTTTTATGCATCAAGCTTTTCTCTCCATATCCAACAAGAATTGTAGTTTATTTTTTAAGATTTTATTCATTTATTTGAGAGAATGAGAGAGAGAGGACATTAAGGGGGGGGCGAGGGTCAGAGGGAGAAGCAAACTCCCTGCTGAGCAGGGAGCCCCATGCGGGACTCGATCCTGGGACTCCAGAATCACGACCTGAGCTGAAGGCAGTCGCTCAACCAACTAAGCCACCCAGGCGCCCCAAGAATTGTATTTTAAAGGGATGGAACCAAAAGGCCTAGGCGAGAGAAAAATAAGGAAACTAACCCAGCTTCTCTTCAGTTGTTTTTTTTTTTTTTTAATTTTTATTTTTAAGATTTTATTTATTTGAGAGAGAGCACAAGCAGGCAGAGGGGCAGAGGGAGAGGAAGAAACAAACTCACTGCAGAGCAGGGAGCCAAATGCGGGGCTCGATCCCAGGACCCTGGGATCATGACCTGAGCCAAAGGCAGACCCTTAACTGATTGAGCCACCCAGGAGCCCCTCTCCAGTCTTATAAATAATTGAGTAATGCAATATTTCTATATACCAGATAGGGCATTCTTTTTTTTTTCCTCCATAAATATCATTGAGATTTTAAAATTTATTTAGAAATTTTCAAGCATCAGTATTTAGGAGGAAAATTAAGTCTACTTATGGGAGCATTGCCCAAGCATTAGAACTCAATTAGCACAATAGATCATAATATTTCTTCTTTAGTCTGTGTAATAACCCATTAGAATTGTTTAATCTTCTTCATTTCAGTTCCTTCTCTTTAAAGTGGAAGTAAAAATACAAGTCCCTCTTGTCTACAGGGGAATGGGATGGATGTGGAAAGTCAGAAACTCTCTCAATAAATTCAGTACCTTGTTTTATACTGAGGTTCTATCTGTTGTGCAAAATGCTGTTGTTGCTCATAAATGAATCATGTCATCTCACTACTTAATGGTCAAAGAACTCAGTGTTAGAAAGATAATTTTTGAAGTCTGTGATCTCTTGGGTCCCTAGAAATTAGTCTGTTTTTTTTTTTACTCTTTTGATAAATACCAATAATATAGATATATCACTCAGAATTTAAAATTAGGTGAGTTGGTCTTTGTGTTCCAAGAGGTTTAAAGAATCTTTGTGGTTGGAAAATATAAATTCTAGATTTTTAATGATGGATTATATTGCTATTTGTATTATAATTATATTTGTTGCTATTTTTATTTTTTGTAAAAGCCTAATTTTAATGAATCAAATGATAGTGATGTTTCTGCATGAATGTATATATTTAATAGTTAAGTGCATTACTGTATTATATGAATATTTATGCATATTATATATATATAATTTTGCTGCAGTAACCTGTGGGCTTAACCAATTTATCTGTTTTTATTAATACTTTGCTGTTTTTATAGTCACTTCAGCATTAATTTTTAAGATTAATTTCTTTGTAATCATTTTTCAGGGAACCCATATTGAGATGTCTATTGGAATTATTTTGGGAATTTCAACTATGGCAGGTATTTAATAAGTCATATTATTATTCTATTGTACTTATATTTATAAAACATTTTAGCAGGTTAGACTTAGAAGAGGATGATTTATTTAAATAAATTTACTCATTGAGATGTCTATTAGTTTGTCTCCTTAATCCTGTTCTTCAAATTCTTAATTTTGTATATGTAGCACTTTTTTCCTGAGAAATTTTAGGTACTTTATGTTAGTTAATAAGTAACAATGCTGTACAGACTATGTTAAAATACATTTTTCTCTTAATTCAGTGTTACCCCAAAACCTTTTTACACTTGTTTTTACTAATTTATTTTCAAGTTGGGTAGAAAAATCAAAGAAGGAAATATAAGATTGAAAGTCTAATTTGGTTCTATTACTTTCTTTCCCCTAGTTACCACTGTGTTTTTCATGATAGTGAAATTTAGGAATGGTTCAGTGTTGTGTTTATTGTGTAGAAAGCATGAAGTAGATGAATTCATGAAAGAGTCATTTCTTCTCTATGATTTCTTGAATTTCAGAGCTATGCATAAAACTTTACTTTAACTTCCAAATATCCAAATTTCCTTAAATATAATGAAAGAAAGCTACAAGATACTGTATAGGTATTGAAACCAAAATGGAAACTGGCTGCCACAACAGAAAAAAACCTACTACTTGTTAGAAGGAGAACACTATAATCCCAAGAGACTTGTGTTCTATTTTGAAATCTTGAGGTTCAGAGCTATCCAATGAGTTACTTTGGATATAGTTGTTGTAGTTTCAGAAACTGTGATTACTCTTCCAGATCAGTGCTTTACTGATGATACAGTGATGTATTATAATGATTTTTCTGACTTCCATGTAACAATTCACTTACCACTTCTCAATTTTTTAGCTGCTGCTTTGGGAAATCTTGTGTCAGATTTAGCTGGACTTGGGTAGGTCCATTCATTTATTCATTTGTGCATGTGTGTTCTCTTTCTCTTCGCCATTCTTTAATTGAGAAAGATAAAAAATATGGGACATTTATTGTGTGTTTTCAAACTAAAGTTTTAAATTTAATATTTCTCAATCAGTAGTACTAAATCTTCAGTGTGCGTCAAATACAAATACCTGGGTTATACCTCAGAACTTGTGTCTCTGGGTATAGGGACCTGGAATTTGTGTTTAAAATCTTCTCAAGAGATTGATACATGCAAAAAGTTTTTCTAAGACAACTGTAATGTAAGCAGAGTTTAATTTTCATTTACTGAAGTATTCATGTGTATTTTATAGACATTTCCAAGGTGAGACAGGATTAAAACCAAGAACCCCATCATTATTTCACCCCACTCTTCTCCCACTAAGCTCAAAGATAAGAGATATGGCTCAAATGTGAGGATACTGACTGGGCATGTTTTCTGGAGAGAGGAACTTTCAAAGAGCATAATGGCCAGAGCATACATGGGTTTGGCCTGTTTTTGCTCTCTTTATTCCACGTGGCTGGAATGATGAAACAAAGCAAGGATGTCTACTTAGAAAAGGCCAGCTTTCTCTCTTTCTCACTTTACATTCTCTCTTCCAAGCAGCACATGGCCTGGGCTGCCTCCTGAGCTTGAGGAAGCCTGGGAAGTATAAATTAGACTAAGTTGGCATTAATTATTGTGATAAACATAGTCTCTTTTGTTCAGTCTTTGGCTCTGTTTTTTTCTTCCATGGTTCATGAGAGTGGTAAGTTTTGAGATTTGGATTTGGGCCTACTAGAAGTTTACTTAGCCTTATAATCTAGGAAAAGGCAGCTTCATAAGGGATCTGACCCTGTGTATTAGACTTCTGTACTGCAGTTTGGGGCCAAAGCTACTGTTAAAACACAAAGTTTCTTTGCTTCTGGGCCAGGGCAGAAATTTTATATTTCTCAGATTCCTGACATAAATCTATATATATATATAATGATATCACCCTTTACACATTCTGTTTCCCCATTTCCAACATTAAGGTTAATAGTGGTAATATTACAGCTACTGTGATAGCTTTTTATATTTAATAGAACTAAGTGATCTAATAGATTTTAAGGCCATTTAATTTTAGATTGCATCATTAATTGGTTATTTTGATTAGAGATAAAGATTTTGTTGGGAGTCTTTATATTTAAGAACTATTTCTCCTCTGCCTTTAAAAAATATCATTAAATAACAAATGCATTTTATTGATTCTTGGGTACCCAGTTTTTTTTAGAACTTAACATATCTGATATTGGGATCCATCTTATAACTGATGTATGCATAGTTCATTTAACTGGCAAATTTTTTTCTTTCTTACAGTTCACAAAGTGAGTTTATATCCAATAAATGATGGGAAGTTAGACTTGATAAATACTTGAGATTGCCCTGAAAATTCTAGGCTGTTTTACTTAGTATATCAATCTAATATTATATATACTTTTTAAAGATTTTATTTATTTGAGAGAGAGTGTGAGCAAGAGAGAGAGAGAGCGAGCAGGAGAAGGGGCAGAGGAAAAAGGAGAAGCAGACTCCCTACCGAGCAAGGAGCCTAACGCAGGGCTTGATCCCAGGACCCTGGGATCATGACCTGAGCCGAAGGCAGACGCTTAACCAACTGAGCCACCCAGGCACCCCAATCTAATATCATATGTTAACGTGCTTTGCTTTGAATTTGGAGTAAGTGCATGACTGTAATTTTATTGCAAAATTTTTTTATATACCTTGAAATGATCTTTTAAAATAAAAGTGAGGTGTGCCTGAGTGGCTCAGTCAGTTAAGCATCTGACTTTTTTTTTTAAGATTTTATTTATTTATTTGACAGAGAGAGAGAGAGAGCACGTGTGTGCACAAACAGGGGGAGCAGCAGAGGGAGAGAGAGAAGCAGGCTTTCTGCTGAGCAGGGAGCCCCATGCGGGGCTCAGACCCAGGACCCTGGGGTCATGACCCAAGCCCAAGGCAGATGCTTAACCAACTGAGCCATCCAGGCACCCCAAGCATCTGACTCTTGATTTCGGCTCAGGTCGTAATCTCAGGGTTGTGAGATTGAGCCCTGTATTGGGCTCTGCACTGGGTGTGGAGCCTGCTTGAGATTCTTTCTCCCTCTCCCTTGGCCCCTTTCCCACCCCCTCAACCCCCTCCTTGCTCTCTCTCTCTCAAAAAAATAAAAATAAATAAAATAAGAGAGAGTAATTGCTCTAAGTCAATTAGTTTATCTATGTATGAATATATTAATATTAAAATATTTTGAACTGTATATATTTATGCACAATAAAAATGAAAATTGTAAAAACCATTTACACCATTTCTAGAGTGCCAGTTACAGGTGTAAAATTATTTTGTTTCTTTTTGTAGCAATTAGTTTGTTATCTGAGGACATTTGTGTGTCTCTTTAAAAACTTATATTCTGTCCTTGTGTTTTTTTAAAGACTTGCAGGCTATGTTGAAGCTTTGGCTTCCAGATTAGGCCTGTCAATTCCTGACCTTACACCAAAACAAGTGGACATGTGGCAAACACGTGTTAGTACACATTTTGTAAGTACTTTATATGGTTTATGATTATGAATTCAGGTAGCCAGAGCAAGATACTGTATAGTTCAGTCCTTTGAGAAATTTGAGACTAAATTGATTTGAGTGGAGTTTTTAACAAAAATTGTCTAAGCTTTGGCAGTTTTCAGAAGAACAATAATTTTTTTATTGTCTATTTTTTGTAGGTGTACTCGATTTTTAGAATATTCTTTATATGATTCAGTTAATGTGAAGGAATATCTGTCATGTCCTAGAGACTGAAGGACATAAAATGAATATAAATTACAGTTATTTTTAAGAATTGTTTAGGTGAAAAACCAGACATGTAAACAAATTATAATTTAGTGCAGTTATAGAATTATGCACTAGATATAGCAATAGCACAAGTAAGAGAATTAATACTTTGTGTGGAGAAGTTTCTTTTGGTGGTAAGATTTCTTGGTGATTATTGGATCTAAACTGATTTTTGTGTTGTTGATGAGATGTTTAATAGATGAACAAGAGAATTCTGAATACATTGACTAGCAAGTAGAAAGACATGATAAAAACAGGGTATGTTCAGAGAAATACAAGAAATTAGGTATTGCTGGACTATAATATGTAGTAGTTGAAGATTGAAGCAGCAGTAGGAAACAGCATTGGAGAAGTAAGAATGGATCAGACAGGAAAGACATTGTATAAGCTATACTAAGGAGCTTGAACCTCATACCTAGGTGATGGAGTGCTAGTGAAGAATTTTAAATAGAAAGGAAACTGGATGGATCACAGTGCCACCAATTAGAAGGACAAATTAGTAAGGAAAGATTATGAGTTCTGTTTTTGATTCAGTAAGTTGAATTTGAGATGCTTATAAGACATTCAAGTGGTGATACCTTGTAGGCATTTGGATTAAAAGTCAAGAGTTAGAGAGGTCTGTATTAGAGATGATGAGTATTATCAATCATTCATTCAACAAATATTCATTTTTTACCTACTGTATGCACAGTACATATGTAGGAGTTTTGAATGTATTGGTTAACAAAACAAGATCTTTTTTTTTTCTGGTGGATCTTACATTTTAACAGTGGAGAGAAGACAATAAAAAATCTGATAAAATGTTTAATGTACTAGAAGTTCACAAATGTTAAAGAAACTAAAGAAAAAAAGAAGGCAGAGCAGGGTAAAAGGTTGGGAGTGCTGGGATGGAGACAGCTTGCAGGATTAAATAGGAGGGTCTGCAGGCCTCACTGAAAAGGTGATAGTTAAAACCATGGGAGAAAGTGAGATTATACAGGACAGTGCTTCTCAAAGTGTAATGCCAGGGCCAGCAGGATCAACACTACCTGGAAACTTGTTAGAAATGCAAATTTCATGTTCCACCTTAGACTTATCTATTTCTTTGTAAAAAATCATATATATGTGTCCATATCCTGCAATTTGTAGATAAAGTGAAGTGAGATTAGCTGGCTAATATCTGCCACAGTTGTTGAAGAATCAGGATATTCTAACATTCTAGCAATTTGGCTTAACATTTTAGCACTACAGTTAGGATCAAGAGATTATTTTCCTGGGCTTTCTTCTCATGTAATTGATAATTCTGTTTTCTTTCTGTATTATAGGCAGATCCATTCCCTTTTCCTATTATAAAAGTACTTCAGTTACTAAGCGCGCGCGCGTGTGTGTGTGCGTGTAGTGTGTATGTGTATGTGTGTGTATTTTGATAAATCTTCCACCAGCATATGAAGTGATTCTATTTCTTAGTTGTTGACTCTGCTTCTTTTATGTTAGGATCAAATCTACTCTGTAACATAACATTCAATTAACAAATAGCCTGAAGTAATTTAAGTTAGTGATCAGCAATCTATTCATGACATAAGCTAACTCTGACATTTACCCATAATGGAATATATGCAAATGCACATGTGGGTTCCTGTTGACATAGGTTGTATTTTAAAACCTCATTTATAATTTGGCTGTTTGAAACTCAGAAAATATTTTCTTGCAGAGCCATATTATGGATGTACTGAAGTTCTTAGGTTAGCCCCAGTGTAGTTAATTATAAGGCCTAGACTATCATAAGACCTGATAATAATATATAAGTAACTGATTTTTCAATGGAAAGTTGTTTCAGGTTCTGAATCAGGGAGCCAGAAAAGGATATCCCGCTTCTTTCCTCCCTCTCTGCCCTGTTGAGTTTATGCCCCATTGAGATAATTGGGTTGGACTTCATTAACTGGGAATCCTTCAATGAGTGGGGAGGAAAGCCTTGGTTTCCATGGACAATAGTAACAAGCATTCTAACAGAATGGGTGAGAAGTAGAAGTGACAATGGACATTTCATATATATGGGAAAGTCAGGAATCTAAAATAAAATAGTCTCTCTCTGTGTTTATAAATAAATATAAATGAATACAAACTGTAAGGTCAAGATAAGGATCTAACTTTTTCAGCCTCTGGAATGAAGAAAATTTCTGCTTATTAAAACTCTGTAGGAGTGATACTTTCCGAAGTTTGACATGATGAAAATGACAAATCTGACTATTAATATAAAGCATGGGTGTACCACCATCACTACTACCATGACCAAAAACCCAAAAATAACAGAGTTGAAAATTTTTGTGCAAGCTATTGTCAAACACTAATGTCTAATCTTGAAATTTATTAGAAAACTTGTAGGGTCTGATAGATAAATGGACAATGTATAGGGAAAAAAAAACATTTTATGCAAGACTGTTGATTATGTAGCTGTCATAGCACCTGTAATGTTTGATAGAACTTGTTTTATTTATTTGCTTTTCTCTGTATAACTAACTGGAAGTTCCTGGGAGAGAGAGAGCGACTGCATCTAATTAGTCTTTGTCTCTCTGTTACCTAGCACAGAGCTTGGCATAGTAGATTCTTAATAAATGTTTATATGAAGAAATAAAACTTAATTGAAAGAGGTTTAACCTTGATGATCATCCTAGAAATGCAAATTTAAAAAATTATTTACAAAAATAAAAATTTAAAAGTGTTCATAGTATAGGTACGGTTGTACAAAAATTGGTGTGTGTATATCCATGTACATATACATATACATAATACAGTTGACCCTTGAACAAGCTGGGGGTTAGGGGCACCATTCCCCCCATGAGTTGAAAATCCACATATAACTTTTGACTTCCCAAACACTTAACTACTAATAGCTTACTGTTAACTGGAAGCTTTACCAATAACATACATAGTTGATTAACACATATTTTATATGTTATACATATTATATAAAGTATTCTTATAATAAAGTAATCTAGAGAAAAGAAAATGTTGCTAAGAAAATCATGAGGAAAAGAAAATACATTTAGGAGTACTGCACTGTAAAAACCCATATAAGTGGATCCACACAGTTCAAACCTGTGTTCAAGGGTCAACTATATTTCAATTGGTATATATGTTTTTGCAGTCATTTTTGTGTAGAATAGACAGCATGGCATTCATTACCCTATGAATATGCACAAATATTCATATTATTTGATTTTTAAATAAATCATTGGGAAAAACTATACACAAAAATGTTTATTGTAATATCATTTATACTGGTGAAAAAGCAGTGACTTTTAATGGTATAAGGAGAGCTTTAAACAGATTATAGGCCATCAGTTCAGTGGAATTTAGAAGTTTTCTATTAAGTTTATGAAATAGTTTGAAAAAAGAGCTTATTATAACGTGTGGCTCTGGGGGAAGAATTGAGGCAGAAAACAAAGCTATGTTTACATAATGATTAGACCTACATATAATTAGGTATACATGGGAATAAATATTGAAAAGGAATATATACAAAAGGAGCAAATCCAAATATATTGAGAGTATTTGGTGAGTTTTTTTTTTCCCCTATCTTGAGATGTTAAAATGTATGTACAGTTTCTAAAAGGTATTTTTCTACTTGAATATTTCTGTGGTGTTATTTCATGGCAATTTGAAAAAACTTTTCCTAGTTGCATTGAACTTTAAATATTACTTGTTCTAGAACCTTTTTGTAGCTTATTGTTTTTTATTTGAAGTGTAGTTGACATACAATATTATATTAGTTTCAGGTGTACAACCTAGTGATTCAACAATTACATATATTACAAAATATCACAATTAGTATGGTCACCATCCTTCACTATACAAAGTTATTATAACATTTTTGACTATACTTCCTGTGCTGTACTTTTCTTTCTCATGACTTATTTATTTTATAATTGGAAATTTGTACTCTTATTGCCCTTCATCTATTTCACCCATCCCCTCCATCTCCTCCTCTCTGGCAACCACCACTTTGTTTTCTGTATCTATGAGTCTGTTTCTGTTTTTTGTTTGTTCTGTTTTTTAGATTCCACATGTAAATGAAATCATATGTTATTTGTCTTTTTTCTGTCTTATTTCAATTACCATAATACCCTCTAGGTCCATCTACATTGTCACAAATGGCAAGATTTCATTCTCTTTTATGGCTGAGTAATACTCCATTGTGTGTGTGTGTGTGTGTACACGCACACACACGTGTATACATACATATACACATGCAAGTATACAAATGTAGATGTGTAGTATACATGCACATGCACAATATACATGTATGTACACATGCATATACATATACACCTGCATACATGTATATGTGTGCATGCGCATACACATATACTACATCTTCTTTATTCATGTATTGATGGACCCTTAGGTTGCTTCCATATCTTGGCCATTGTAAATAATGCTGCACTAAATATAGGGTTATTTATATATCTTTTCAAATTAATGTTTTTATTTTCTTTGGGTAAATACCCCGAAGTGGAATTAGTGGGTCATATGGTATTCTTATTTTTAATTTTTTGAGGAGCCTTCATTCTGTTTTCCATAGTGGCTACACCAGTTTACATTCCGACAGTGCGCAAGGGTTCCCTTTTCTCCATATCCTCACCAATATTTGTTATTTCTTGTCTTTTTTTTTTTCTTAATTTCAGTCTAGTTAATTTCAGGTGTACTGTAAATACAGTGATGGAAAAATTCTATATATTACTCAGTGCTCATCAAGATAAGTGTACTCTTAATCCCCTTCATCTGTTCTACCCACCTCCCCTCTGATAACCATCTGTTTGTTTTCTATAGTTAAGAGTCTGTTTTTGGTCTGTTTCTCTTTTTTCCCCCCTTTGTTTTTTCTTAAATTCCACATATGATTGAAATCATATGGCATTTGTCTTTCTCTGACTTACTTCACTTAGCATGATGCCATCTAGATCCATCATGTTGTTACATTCTTTTTTATGGCTGAATAATATTTGTGTGTGTGTGTGTGCACTTGGGCTGTTTCCGTAGTTTAACTATTGTACATAATGCTGCAATAAACATAGGGGTGCATATATCCTTTCGAATTAGTGTTTTTGTATTCTTTGGGTAAATACCCAGTAGTGTGATTACTGGATCATATGGTAGTTCTATTTTTAATTTTTTGAGGAACATCCACACTGTTTTCCACAGTGGCTGCACCAGTTTGTATTCCTACCAGCAGTGCATGGGAGTTCCTTTTTCTCCACTTCTTGTTTCTTGTGTTTTTTATTTTAGTCATTCTGACAGGTGTGAGGTGATATCTCATTGTGGTTTTGATTTGCATTTCCCTGATGATTAGTAGTATTGAGCACTTTTTCATGTGTTGACCATCTGTATGTCTTCTTTGGAGAAATGTCTATTCAGGTCCTCTGCCCATTTTTTAATCAGATTGTTTTTTGGTGTTAAGTTATATGAGTTCTTTATATATTTTGGATATTAACCCCTTATTGGTTATATCATTTATAGATATTTTGTCCCATTTAGTAGATTGCTTTGTCATTTGCTGATGGTTTCCTTTGCTCTGCAAAAAGCTTTTCAGTTTGAAGTAGTCCCAATTGTGTATTTTTACTTTTGTTTTTTCTTGCCTGTGGATACAGATCCAGAAAAATGTTGCTAAGGCTGATGTTCAAGAGATTACTATGTTTTCTTTTAGGATTTTTATGGTTTCAGGTCTTATATTTAGATCTTTAATCCATTTTGAGTTTATTATTGTGTATCGTGTAAGAAAGTGGTCCAGTTTCATTCTTTTGCATGTAGCTGTCCAGTTTTCCCAACACCATGTATGAGACTATCTTTTCTCCATTGCATATTCTTGCCTCCTTTGTCATATGTGGCGTCTTTTTATATTTAAGTTAACTATGATCAAAAGAAATGCAATTACAGTTGAATTTTATAATATATAGTAATTGTTTATCATAGATACTTAGGCAAGGATTCTTCTTTCAGGGATAAAATAACTTTCAAAAAATGTTTTCTTTTGTTTCCTTAGGGCAAAGCTGTTGGGGTGACTATTGGCTGCATTCTAGGAATGTTTCCTTTGCTTTTCTTTGGAGGAGGTGAAGAAGATGAAAAACTGGAAAAGAAAAATTAACCCTCTTAGAGTATCTATAAAAAAATGTAAACTAATGTACCTCAATTACTAAATATGCTGTCACAACATTTAGGAATTAAGACAATAACAGTGCATAGATATGGGATCAAATAATTCAGCATGTATTATGGAAAACACTAACTTATTGTGGCTTGGTTTTCTTAGGACATCTTTTTAAAAAACGTTTAGTATCCATTTTGTGTAAATTGTTGAAATGCTTTTTCATCAGTGGCAGTCAACATTTTACCTTTTTCTTTTCTTTATATATCAAAATATCATTTAAGTATCAGTCATTGACGTACTGTACTGAGTTGGGGTTTGCGTATTTGTTACTTTATGTGTGTGCATGCATGAAAGGATCTGTCTTCGCTGTTGTTCTGTAGTTACAACTCAGCCTTGAGATTTTTGCCACATTACTTAAGGTGTTTAATATAAGTTAAAGGTTTTTTTTTTTTTACTCTATTTGGCAACATCAACTTTGTACTCTTTTACATTGAACATTTACAATCATAATTTTAGTCATTTTTTAAACTCTTATTCAATTCAAGATAGACACACACTTTAAGTATTTTAAGTATCTATTACTCATTTTAATTTTCTTACCTCACTGTCTCAAGAGCCAGAGGTTTAATCAGAATGAGTAATTATGTGGTGTCTCTACTACGTAAAACCATATATGTTAATAAGTATATTATTTTCAGTTGATTTTTTTAATCTTTAATTTCTCCATTTTGAATCATAACATGGTAGCTTCTGCTCCTAAGGGGAAGAAAATGATTATTTCAGGGTCTTTTATACATGGGGGTTGTGGAATTAGGGTAAAATAAGGGGATTGACATGACACTTGGAGATTAAGAGGCTAAAAATTTTTTTAGAGAAAAAGAAAATGGGAACTGTCAAGAAGGCTTATGGTATAAGTGGTGAAGTTGAAGTTGTGTTTGGAAGGTTAATGAGATACAAATTCTGTTGTTTGGGATGGATTTCTTTTTCTCCAAAGCATCTTCTCATCTGAATTGAATGAATCTGAGTACTCCATACTCATAATTCTGATGTCTTGTTTAGTGAGTTTTATTTCTGGATAACTACTTTGAGGTGAAGACTAAATATTTTATATTTTTCTTTTTTGCTATGAATAGTCTAGTAGTCAAAAGTTATGTGAGGAGAAATCTTTTTTTTTTTTTGGTCTTCTTCTTTTGTGGTGTTTAAATAATATTCTAGGTTGAGATTGCTTTTCAGCCTTACATATCTAACATATATAGTACAACTATATATGAGTCATAAATTTTAATTTTATGAGCCCTTAAAGTTTGTTAGCATGTGGTCTGTTACATATGCTAAAAAATTACTCTTACTTGTAAGAGTAAACACATCATGGAGGAGAAAAACTGAAATTAAAATAACTGGGCCACTGAAATTATTTATGTTGCTAAATAGATGCAAAAGAATGAAAGCTTCTAAGATGGCTGTATTTATAGTTACCTTAAAGTTTTATTTGCACATATTTACTTTGACCTCTTATTTTCAGAGGGGCTGTTTTTTTCCCACAAGGCAATTTGTCATAAATTACCCTCTGTGCACTCCAAAATAATTCAGAGCTCTCCTTTAATCATAGATTTTTGAGGAAAAAGAAGAAAATAAATCATATAATATAAAAATAAATATATGACATTCTTATTATGTACAAATAATACAGTAGTCTCATTTGATCAAATTAGAAGTATAGAACTTGACTTCTTAAACAGAATTGTGGTTTTTATGTTCCACGTAGTACTACGTACACACCAAAAAGAATTTTTTTTATTATTTTAGCTGGTAGGATTAGAGTGCTTATTTAAACAATTTTTTTAAATATCTAAGTGCATTTGTTCCTAACTTGTATATTGCCAGTCCTTTCTGTTTTCTAAAAACTATTTTATTGTGGTGCTTAAATTTTCTTATTAATTAAATCCCATATCCAGAAACCTTGCCTGTGAGTTAGAAAGGGCTTTGATTATTGGTTTTCACTTTTTGCTCTTGAAAGTAATCCAGTCCTACAGAAGCTTTCAGTTTAGCTGAATGTCTGCAGAATTATTTAAGGTGTCAAAACATAGCATATATAACCTTCATGTTGAAAGATATTTTAATTTGGGGGCATAATAAATATTTGAATCATTCAGATAATTAACTTTCAAAAAATGGAGACCTTTTGTCCTTAACCTAAGGTACACATCTTCTCAAGATCTTATTCTACATGAGTATTGGTGCTTGGCACAAAGTGATTTCTGAAAAATGGCTCCCTTTAAGAGATAATGACTTCATAAAAACATAGTTTCGTGGTACTTGTCACACATAACCTTATTTCAGATTGAAACTGGAATCTTTTTTCTCATATTAGCTATTTCTTTATTGGAAGCACCATAACTATAGTTAAATACAACATGAGCTACTTTAGTACTGTTTGTTTGAAATTCATGTTGTCTGTGTATTATGATTTATTGACTTGTTGATGCATGTGAATTGGGTGCATTTTGTTGCCACTGTATGTTAAATGGTGACCAATGTTTTTACAACGGAATTGAACAAAAAAATATCTTTTAAGAAATTTGGAATGTGGTTTTGATTTTGAAATTTGATTTTCTTCCTAATCTCTAAGGGAGTGCTCTGGTTATTCTGTCACTAAAGGAAATAGAATAAATAAATGCAGATTTTTTTACAGGGTTGTAGCAATATCACTGAGACAGTAAAATGGAATTATTTACTACCTCCCTGAAATCCACATTGGCGACCCATTACAGATTATGAGAGAAGAATGATCCTATATTTAGACAATTTGATCTTTAATAGGATGTCAAAAATGACACTAGAGAGATTGGCATAAATCACACTGATAGGTCTTTACAGCAGAGATATCCAAGCCTTCTGTAGAATAATGCCTCCTTTACTCCTTTTCTGTAGGAGGTGAATTTTGAAGGTAATGGAAGTTTATCTTTCACACAAAAAGTTTGTGTAAACCATTTTGAAGTAAATCTTCCTATTTTAGAATTATGTTTTCTTCCCATCTTGTATTAAATGTAATGTCATCTTTTTCTTAGTGGCTAAGCACCATCCCCATGGACATTATTATTGTGCTGTAATGCAGTGCCTCAGGAAAACTTTAATTTTCCTCCCATCTTTTTACTGCTCTCGGCTTTTGGCAACTGCCTTCTCTCTCTAACTTGCCACTTCTCAGCTGTCTGGATTTAGCAGCTAGATAGCCAGTCTTACCAGGAATTTTTGGGGAAATATTAGGCTATGGAGCCTGAGTGAGATGATGATGGTGATGATGATGATGATGTTAGTTCCCTTTTATTAAGCACTCACTTGCTGTTTTGTAAGTATTTTACACACTGTCATATTTAATCACTTTAAATAACGACGTTAAGTTGGTGCTATTATTATCCCTATTTTATATTGGGTAAATTTTATATGGAAAGTTAGTAGTAGCACCATGAGGTCATCACTAATAAGTGGACTGGAATCCAACGTTGTCCAGGTTTGAAGCCTGTGTTCTTAGTTACTATGCAATAGGGCATCAGTTGTATGGACTTTGTAACGTCTCTTCTCTGCTTAGGTTCCTCTTTACCTTCAGATTTGTTTACAACTTGCTTACAAAAACAATTTGTTACAACTTGTTTACAAAAACAATTTGTAAACAAACAACTTTTAAAGTTGTTTTCTTACCGATAATCTAAGGGAATTGTGCTTATAATCTCAAGGTTCATTTAAGAAATTCTGTGCTTACTATGTGCTCAGAACTGTTCAAGGAACTGAGCAAACAACGAGAACATCCTCATTCTCATGAAGTTTATTCTGGGGAGAGGGGCGTCAGTGGGGCAAATATACACTTAAATATTTTTTATTGCAGACAGTGGTAAGTTCTAGAGATAAATGAAACAAGGTAAGGGGCATGGAAAGTACCAGTGGTCATATGTGAGGGTTTATTTATTATTAATTTTTATTTTATTATGTTACGTTAGTCACCATACATTACATCATTAGTTTTTGATGTAGTGTTCCATGATTCATTGTTTGCATTTAACACCCAGTGCTCCATGCAATACGTGCCTTCCTTAATACCCATCACCAGGCTAACCCATTCCCCCACTCTCTCCCCTCTAAAACCCTCGGTTTGCTTCTCAGAGTTGAGGGTTTATTTTTCTAGAATTGTCAGGGAAGACCTGAAAGAAGTGAGAACATTAACAATACATGTTAAGGAAATCTCAGACTGTGAGATATATTTCACTTTGGAATGTATTGTAAGATTTTTTTGTTTGTTTTGCATTATTAATGCTTTCTGTATTAAGTCTAAATACTAATATTTAAATATTAGGATTAATACTCCCCACATATTTACTGACAGCCGTAGAGGGAAGTAGAGGGAAATGGCTCAAGAAGCCTGGGGAAGCTACCTGGGAATTCATACAATCTGTGGATAATCCATCTGCAAATTATTTAGGGTTTGTTTTGTGCTCATAATGAAATCTTACAGATCACTTGTTTTTACCAAAGCAATAATTGCTATTGGTATATGAGTTGTAACACTGAAATTGGTTTTTCTTCTTTAACTTTTAGAAATGGAGTACTACTTAAAGCGAGGACGTATAACATTTTAATTTTGAAGCTTCAGGACTTCTAGTGTCTACCTATCTTGTGCTGACAGCCGTATGAAGCACATAGTGTTATGACATCAAACATGTTAATGTCATTGACAGGTTTATGAATGAAAGAAATTTGAACAATTTTTTTTATTGACACCAATTAAAAAGAGTAGGCACCTGAGAGATTGTGTGATTTGACAAGTCCAAGTCAAACTTTTTGTTCACAGGAATAGAAAGTGAGAATGATGACCGAAGAATTAAAGTTAAAGGAACTACTTTTGAGGGGAGAAGGGGTGAACCTTCCAAAACTGTTGGATAAAGGAATTTTCTGTGAGAATTGTGAAATTCAGTAAAGGTTTGCCAGTTGCTAATATGAAAGCTATGCATTTGTGTAGTGCTTTACCATTTATAAAATAGTTATGCAGATGCTAGATATACATGGAGTTCAAGAGAGTTAGATGAAAAAAAACTGGGGGTACTTTAATTAGAGTTTTTCTCTCCTGCATGTCAACCCCACCATCACCATTCCTGCACAACGGTGGTTATTCTGTATCTCTTTTTACCTTATGTCTCAAGTGCAATTGTTTTCTTCTTTTCCCCAACCTTGGACTGATGGAAATGCAGTTTTTATAATGTATATTATGTCCCATGCTGTTATTTTTAAAGTATATAGGTCAGACATTTTCTCTTTTTCTCCCTTACCCCCAATTGGGAGGAGAAAAAAATCTAAATTAATTTTTAGTTCATTTTATGGTTAACAGTTTTAACTGTTCTTTCTTCCATACTAATTCATACCCACATTTCATAAGAAGAAAAAGATCTGACTGTGCTTCAAGTGTCAGGGCCACAAAGGCACATAGTAAGCATCCAACTTGTTCACTTCTCTATCTGTAATA